CGGCAACAAATTGGCCATCCGCCGATGGAGCGGGAGCGAAGGCCTCCGTCTGATCAGGGAATCCCGGGGCGGAGTAGGCGGCTTGGTCAAGTTGATCGAGGTTTAGCGGAGACAGGCCCGCATGGTCCGAGCCGGCGAAATGGCCCACGACGGCGTAGCCATTGAGACTACCGCTGGCCGGGCTGTGAACGATGCCGACCGAGGACGCGTAAGAATTCATGTCGAGGTGTTGCCATGTGTCGTCCGCGTCGGCGGCGGTCTCGAAGTCGAGGGGCGAGTGAGGCGTCCCTCTGGAGGATACGGACGTCATTTCGGCAGGCGTCCGTCCGGTTAGGTGAATGGTTGGATAGATTGAATCGATGCTAGCGATGGGTAGGCGTTCGTGGATGCGACCCGTACCGTCGAATGTCCAAGCGGCCGTTGAGCTCAAGTCGATTGATTTCGAAGCGCCTTTGTTGTCTGGAGTTGAGAGAGAAGCGGCTACTCCCCCAAAACGAGGTGGCCAGTAAATACGTTGGGCGGCTCTGCTTACGCTCGCTCCAATTTTGGAACTGGCACGCGGGGGTCCTTTTTCGCACAGCTGGCTAAGCGTCTGCCAAGTCTTCCTCTGCGTCGCGTGAGTCTTGCTCGAGTCGAGAATCACAGGCGGGCAGCACGGGTACGGGTACAAGCGTCGAGTCGTTCACGCCGGCAGTCGTCGTAATGGTTTTTTTTTTTTTTGGCTCGTTCTTACCGCTCTGAAGACATGCAGGACAGCGGGAACGAGGGAAAGAGCATAAAAGGGCGGCGAGCCAACGAGATTAAAACGAGTGAGTGGATGGCGGCTGTCTGTCACCCCATGTTCACTGGCACTCAGAAAGCGACGGGAGTCCGCTGTGCCGCAGCCAACGCAACTTCTCCCGCCCATTCCCGTATTCCCGTCCTGCAGCAGCAGCATCTTTCCTTCTATCAGCGCCGTCCGCTGCCCGCTGTGCTAGCCTGCCGCTGCTATTGCTGGAGCTGCTGAACAAGCTGAACCACCTTCACCCTCCGCCCCCAGACGTAGCGCTAAGCCTGTTCAGGGACCGAGGGCGGAGACGGTGGGGGCAACGCTATGCCCGATCCATCACCGGCAGGAGACCGGCGCCGCCGTTCGGGACCTCCTTGCCACACCGGTGACCGAACCCGCCGTCCGGAGCCATGCAACGGTGCATCTGGCCTTGAGCACGCGGAGCGTAAGACCGAGTCCATGTCGCACTGTTTAACTTCAGAAGTTGAGAGTTTGTGTCTCGAGATGATGCGCGCGAGCAGCAGCAGCGGCTCAGCAGAACCCGTTGGATCCGTCCTGCCTGCCATGCGCGTCTGTCAATCGGCACTGTGCTTCTCGCAGTGTACCTCTACTGCTGCTTACCTTGCTTTTACGCACAAACGAAATTCGACCACCGTGACAGCTTCAACATTGTTTATCAGCCACTCGTGAGAAACAGCCTTCTTTCAGAAAAGACTACTTGACTTATTCCAGTCTGACAAATCCCCCCAGAGATCGACAGACAGGCTCGCATCAACGAACCGGCCCGGGCCCTGAACCCTTGGCCATCGACCACAAGCCATCAACCGCCATCCTTCGACATTGCATCCCGCTCCCAGTCGATATCACGGCCCCGACAGCCATAATATCAAGCCTTCACCAGCCCGTCCCTCAAACCAACCTCCCACACCGCGCACCCCGCGCACCCCCCAAACCCCCCTGCCATGGGCTCTTTCGCCTCGCCGCTCGCAACATGAACCGTTCCCAACAGAGAAATCCACATTGTTTCCCCCAAAGAACCCCCGGATCTCCAGACTAGCCGCCACTTACACGGGGAAACGATGCTACCTCGCACCAGCAACCGCACAACTTTCAACAACACGACCTCCCTGTCGGATCTTCCAACTACAACCTCGGGACATCAAAAATCTGACGATCTGCACCGTCTACTCGTACGACAGCGATGGATCGCCTGGTTGCCCCCGCCAGTCTAAGTTCTAGCGCGCGGTGCTTGACTACTGCGCAGAAACCTTGGTGAACACGCAACAACCCAGTATACACAACTACATGCCATCCATTTTTGGCACTGCGCAGCCGACGAACCACGTTCGGCCGCGGAAGCTAAACCGCAATCGCAGCATGCCGCCCGGCGCGCCGCCCCCTCGCCGCCTCGCCGATGCCGTTTGCCCTGCGATGGGTCGGCCTTTGAATCAGGCGCAAGTCAGTCGTCTAATCATGTTAATTGTACTCTGTTGCGCCGCTTCCGCCGGCATCCTGCCGCATTCCTTCGACCTTTATGTTCATGTTTGCAACTTTACAGCAAACACTCTGAAGGTTCAGCCCTTGAGCTGTCAAGGCATGTCATCCAAGACAGGAGCAACGTGAGAGGCCAACTATAGCATCGCCGTCTTAAACCACCCCTCAGTTCGCATCGAAGACGAAACTCCCTCTCAAACAGCGAAACAATGATTCAAAATCCGAGTCCGAACTACTTGGCACGACACCCTCACCATTCGCCAGAAGACAAGCACGCACCACCCTCGTCAAGGTCAGCCTGGTCAACCATCTTCCTGGACGAACCCCCTTATCCCATGCTCTCCATCTTCCCCTTCACCGCGCAGCTCTGATGCCCTGCAGCCTTGGCTTACTACCGACCCGATCTCACCTCAACGCAATGGGCAATCGTACCCCAAGATAGAAGCATCCCACACAAAAGCCACGGCCCCAACGCACGCACACACCCGTCCTGTCCTGGCACACACTCACAAACCTTAGCTGCCACATGCTCTGCTTATTCAACCCATAGTCAGCCAAGATTCGAAACCGCCTTCTATCGGACTCTGGCGCTCTTCCAGAATCCCGCTCGTCTTGCCCCGTGCTTCTTGTCGTTCTTCATCAATTCTGCCACCCCTTCTGCGGCCGAAACCCTTGATACCCGGCTCAACCTTCTTTACTTGGTGGCCATTGTACATACAAGCACCCTTCACCTGCAGAAATCCAAACCGTCCCGGCAAGCGACGACGCATTTAAAGGGCAGCAAACCATAAGCAGAAAAAGGCAGAAAAGAAAGTAAGTCAAGACGCCTTGGTCAGGATGCGGTGCCATGTTTGCCATGTGCCCGTTTGCTTGTCAGTCACCCTCTTCACCAGAGGGTCCCCACCACCAGACGTTGAGCCTATGATGCCAACAATGCTACTACAACCCATCATCAGAAACTATAACGGCCTACATCATAGTAATACTCAACCTTTCGGCCTTTATGCTCCCTGAGGTAAAGCCTTCAGGGGGGGAGAGGAGGGGTACTTGTGCCCTTGCAGCGGCGTTAAGTAGCTTCGCGGGCGCGGAAGACCCTCTCCGTCCTCATCCCACCCTTTTGCCAAGTCGTTCACATCATGTTCTGCAGCAACTTGTCTTCAGTAGCAGGACCCCTGGGACATGCCGCATACTTCGTAGGTAGCATATAGATTTTCGCCCCTCCCTCCATCTTTCCCCGGGTGACCCATCAAGCGGGATGCGACATCACGGTCTCTTTCAAACCCTAGCACTGGCGCTTCCGTTCACCAACCCCCAGTTCCTTGGTCTGGCTGGGCACAGAGGGGAGAAGAAGAACCAAGCCGCCAGCGATTGCAGGTGCCCCCGTCAGGAGTAAGCCCCTGGCAGGTCTCTCCCACCAAGGCCAAGCCACCCGTCAGGCACGGAGGCTGCATCCTATCGGCTGATGATCACCGGTTCATTTCAGCCCAACGACGTTGGCCGTTCTCCCCGACGCTCCGCAGGTGTGACCCGATGCCACATACGGGGGAGACGGAGGAGACCGCTGCTTGAGTCTCTCTTGGGCCCTACCCCCTTCTCTTTCTCTTCCTAGATACGCACGGTTCAGTCTGTTTTCCATTGAAGCCAAGTGGTGACGTTCACGACATTTCACGCCAGGGGCCGCATCTTGAACAATACTCGAGTTAAAATTCTTGGCCGCTACGTGAGAGAGTAGAGTAAAGCACACGCCCAATCCTGGGCTGTAAGGGGGATATCACACTACCAAAGATTCATCTAAGCCGCCCCGAACCAAGTTACAGAAAATAGCAGGCGTTAGCGAGGGAAGAAAAGGCTAGTAGGGATATCTGTCCAAATTTCTGCTCCCTCAACAACCGCGCTCGCGCACCGAGCAGTAGTAGTAGCAAACAGCCGACCCTGTTGTGTGTGGAGAGATCCCTAGTATAATAAGTAAAGCGTATCAAAATCATCGAGACAAACTCCAAGACCCCTTCACGCGCCGTGGCAGTGCAGGAACAGAGGAAACAGGGAGAGGAAGGGGGGAAAGAACCAGAAGATAATAACGATGTACAGCATGACAAGAGGTTGTCTGCCTCCTCAAATGACCAAACCCTGAGCGCCCATCGCTTCCCTGTAGCATGCCAAAAATGCCCTTTTCGCTTGCGAATCCAACTCGTAAAGGGGGGAAGTAGGGTGATAAAATTCTCGTCCATCTTTCGCTTTCTCTCTCGCTCTCTCGGCAAGACTAGTAGCAGTAGTAGTGGTAGTAGTGACAAAAAGCTTGCCCGACCATGGATGTGAGCATCATTACCATTTCCATACAAACAAATAAACAAAAACAAGACACACACACCCGCTTGCCAAGTGATGGGGAGGGAGCTAAGCTAGCTGTGGGCTTTCCGTCGTGGTCGTGTCTTTTGAAGGGGGTTTGGGCTTCTCGTCCATTCGTAACGCCCCCCGGTTCCGTATCAAGTCATCTACACTCTCTCTTCTGTCCCCTCTAAGGAATGAGAAGAATCCTCGCCTGTTACCATATTGCAAATTCCAATATAAACACTTTCAAGTTCCGTCGTTAAGTTCCGTAGATAAATCGTTAGGGCCCCTTTTTCGCTCGTCGAAAATTCAAATCGCTCGTCTCATGGTTGGGTATGGTCAAGGATGTTGAGAAGTCCGATTCGGGGCAAATGGTGTGTGGAGAGTGAAGGAAGCACGGCGAACAAGATCAGGTTCTGAATCGTGTTGCCGCGCGATCCTGAATCTGCTTCTCCGTAGAAACGTATAGTCGGTCGAGATAGTCCATGGCGCTTGCGTCCTTTAGGATCTTGGCCACCTGGATACCCGCCGAAATGAGCTGTAAGATGTTGCGGTCGTCCTTTAGTGGGCGGCTCTGGTGCTTGGCTGCGTGTCGCATCTCTAGCGAGTTCTCGAGAATCGTGACGAACTGCTTGATCTGACCGTTGTACAGAACACGAGCCGGGATGCGGCGTTTGGTTGCCAAGCGCTTTAAAAGATAGACCCATTCCGTCCATTCCCTGTCTTGAGGTCGCTCTACAGGCCTCATGTCCTGCGTCAAGGGGATGGGGAACTGGTATTTCGCAACGAAGTCATAGGCGCACTGAGAGAGCCGGTCGTTAACCTGTGTCAAAACCAGATCCTGCTCTTGGACATGCAAGTTCGTCGGAAGGTGCGGCAGTTCGCGTTCTTGCATGGCGATGTACTCGGGGGGCGGGCGGGCGAGAAACTGATGCGGCCCGTCGAATTCGTCCCGGTTCGATGGTCGACGTTGAGGCCGACCCTTCCCACTCACTTTGCCTCCCTTGTTTGGAGGCGTCGCACCCGTTCCATTCTCGAGTGAGTAATCAGAGAGATTCGGAGAGGCGATGATGTCGTCGACTGAGTCCGTCGGGGAATATCTTTCCTGATGATCCCAGGCCTGGGAGGCTGAGGCCGTACCCTTGTACGAGCCATAACCACCGGCACCACTGGTGCCGTATGTTCCAGATGCTGGCCTTGATGATCCGTACGCAGGGGCGGCAGCGGCAGCAGCTGCGTGAGGATTGGTCCCAATCGGGAGGTTGTAACTACTGGCTCCGGGAGAGTATGTTGACACACTTGAAGGCTTGGTGTTATTTGGTTGCTCCGTGGAAAAGAAAAATGACAGAATGCATCGGCGTCTGGTTCTTACCTAGATGAACGGTAGTAGCCATTCTCAAACCCTCCGGCAGGCGGAAATGTATCGTTGTACATTGAACTTTTTTTCATCGGTCAGTTCTCCTGTCCTTTTCGGGACGTCATGAGACTTGGGGAACGGTCCGTACCTCCGCGTCGAGTTCCACGGTCCGTTGGACATGGCTGATGGTCTGTAGGCAAAATCCGGCTGGGCCATTTCTTCCGGGGGCATAACGGTAGAGAAAGAAATCAAGCAACAGACTTGGAGGTTTCCAAGAAGTCCAGAGATGGAAGCCACGTGAAATAAGAACAGTCCTTGGGCGGGCAGGTCAGCCCCGGGTGTCCAAAAAAGAGTCCCTTGGGCTGTGATCTCGGGCCAAGTATTCCTGGGAAAATGCGGCAAGACGTCTCCTCAAACACAAGGGAATCCACGATAACAAAAACGGTCTTGTTCCAGGATGGTACCCTTGAAGAAGTCCGGGTCGGATTGCAAGGGCGGTGTGGATGTTGGGGGGTAAAGCAGGTGATCGGTCCAAGAAACGACTTGTCTCCACGACAGCACCTTAAGTGACTTATAAGACGCTCGGGAAAGGCTTTAGGTGAAGAGACACTAGGGGGGTTAGTGGAAGAATCTCTCTGGTCTTGCTGGAGCAAAACGGGAAAGAAGAAACCAACAAGTTCCTGGGATGGACGAGGATGGGGGAGCGGGCAGGATCCTGACAGTGGATGATTAAGTTCGGAATGGAGGCATTTTATGTCTGCTTGCGATGTCCCTCCTCGTGGGGCGTGGTACCGGGCGGCGAAAATGGTTGATCCCTGGTTTTGAGGGTTGAAGGGGAGGTGGTCCGTTGGGAAGAGTCGAGGCGGAGGGTGAACAGGGACCAGGAGAGACGCAAGCCGGCGATACTCGAGTAAAGATTTGCATTCGCCCCAATGACCAACACCACGGAGACGTCTTTGGTTTCAAGCAGACGGGTGCCGCATAGGCTAGAGGATACGTGACTGCCAAGCGCTGTAGTCGAGAAGGTTCGTCCGTCGGGCGTCCTGGGATAGATTGGGGTTCACCACGGTGTTGCCGCCCTACTGGAAGTTGGCATCCATCCCTTGGCTGGCGAGCCTTGCTTTTCGGATTTGCGAGGTGAACACGACAGGATAGGCGAGTAAGCGAACGAGGGGAGATCAGCGTGCCCTTTGATGGCTGGTGCCCTCCTGTCCCCTCTATTTTGGCGCGATGCCAGGTCGACTTTTTGACAGTTGGCCCCTCTCACCAGGAATACCCCAGATGGAAAACAAATCTTATGGCCGGGCTGTATTGGCTCACGCGTGAAAGCCATTGGCCCTGCCAACTCCTGACGAAGTCGACGGGGCCAATTGTGTAGAGTAGGGCACCGATTGGGCTGTGACAGAAACTTTTTCTTTGCTGGGCTGGAGAATTGTTGCCCGAAAGGTCGGAGTAGCTTTTCGGTACCGGATGGGATGATTCGTGCAGGGTTGTACCTAGCGGGAGAAGAAGCGGTGACAGCAGGCCGGGTTGGGCACAAATTGGACAAACAAACACCGGCGGCGGATACGATGAAGAGGGGGAAGGGGACGCGCGCTACCGCCTGTATTTGTGAGCCCAACCATGCCTTGATGCCCACTTTGGTGAATTGGAGTTGCTTTTGGCGCATCATTGAATCAGGGACTGTCAATGACCGGCGAGCATCACAGGCATCTCAACATAGCCCGGGGGGAGGAGGGGGTTGATGGAGCCAATGGTTGTGTTGTATCCAGTGTCTCTGCCTGCAGTGACAATCCGGCAGTCGTTCTGCTGACGGGCTGCCAATTTTCCAAGACGTCGACCTCGAATAGAACAGTGCAACAGAGACGAAAAAGCTGGGGGGCCCTCGGTGACAAGTGTGCATTGGACCGACGAATGATCTGACCTTGACGTAGCGAAGTGAAGCTGGTATTGTCTTGTCTTGTATTGGCGCAGGGAACCAGGGCCCAAGAATCCCAGAAATGGAATTGATGGGGCTGGAGATGTGAATTGGGGGGAGACTTTTGGGGGGGCAGCGAGGGCCAATGGCGGGACTCAGTTGTGGTTTGAAGGCCGGTCGTTCGGCTGGCTGCGAGTGACTAGTGTCGTCCATCGTCCGTGGCATCGACTCGACATCGACAACCGCCGACCAGGCCCCAGGGCGAATAGGGCGGGATGACGTGCGCCTCGATAAACCCTAGTATCCTGGGAAGGTTGTCGATAACCTCAACGATTCGAACTGAGCAAGAAAACCCAAGTGCAAAGGGCAAGCGAGGGTGGTCGGACGATCGCCGGCAATCTCTGTGTGTACTGTATGTGCATGATGGAGGCAGATTTGATCGATCTCAGGGTGCAGTGAATGGCAACCGAGCGCCTCAACCCAACAATTGCAGGCGGTGGAGGAGGGGTTGGACAAGCTATTTCGTCTCTTGATGAGCTGTCAAGCGCCGCCTCGTGGTTTGCGGGGATTCCGCGGGACGATCATGTTGCCAAATTAAGATGACGTTGTTCGCTAGGCGTTGGCACTTTGATCAACTGCGCGCTTGTCTTTCAGCTCACATCTCAGATGCTCTCCGCACGACTCGGTAGATGGACGCAACACGCCCTCACCCCGCGTTCTGTGTCGATGAACATGACTCCTGTCCTTCAAGGAGTTCGGGACAGAGGGCTGCCGTGGATTCTGCGGGCGACAGTGAGTGAGTATCCGTCCCGTCTGTGAAAGTGTAGCACCAAGCCAGCACCAAACACTGAGGTGGAGAGGCTGTGCAGTGTGTGAGAATGTGTGTGAGGGAGCGGAGGGAGAGCTACTGGCTCTGTGCATTGAGACAGGTCAAGGGTGGTCGGGTTTGCAGTATTGTTTCGCGTGGTTCCCATCGGCGGGTGTCTGGAGAGTCGAGAGCCAGACCGGCCGAGACGAACAGCGAAAATGTCTTGGGCAGACCATGTTTGCGGGCATTGAGCAGGCCGGGATGGCAAGCATGGCACCGCGAAATGCGCATGACAAGGCCGAAATCACAGCCGGTGTATTCCACTTAAAATCTGGCGATTCGGAGGGGCGTGACCGGTCACTTTTACCGTGGGTGTCAATGCGGCCATCTGTTTTTCGGCACCCTGTCTCGACCCCGGCGCGACACAGGGCACCTAATCGAGCGCCCCCGTCGCGGGTTCCTGATCGGAAGAAATTATCCGATTGTTGTTGGAATGACGGCCACGGGCCCTGGTGGTGCCTGGTGGGTGGAAGCGGAGCGAACCAGCCAGCGATGGAAGCATGTTCGACGATGTTCGATGCTCGGGCATGGAACAACACTATTTCACGGACGTTGCTTGAGCGTGCGAATCTGACAGACCAGGGTCGATGCTGATGCCAGAGATGACGCCTGGAGAGGCCGATAATTGCTTGTGGACCGTTTGCTGTGTTTGGATTAGAGCATCGATCTCCTGTGTTTTCGGAGATCAGATGAATAGAAGGAGAAGAAGGGGAGGAGGACAGCAAGACTCTGTGATTGGCAGGCTGCAGCTTCTGCAGACGAGGAGAGAATTGCCGTGCTATCGTGCCTTCCTAGGGTTTCGCATCTGAAGCGAGAGCAGCAGTTTCCGTTTCCAAGACGGAGGGAGACACGGCCCTTCTCCAGGTTGTGGCTTCTCAGTCTAGATGCCAAGCCACACCGAGGTTGGGTCAACAAGTGGCTTGAGCTTGGCAACATTACATAATGGTCAGGTAGTCACGGTAGGCAACCCCACCAGATGATCTCCTAGCTTTCCCATTGGTTGTACCTTCATGCACGTCTCGTGTAGCATCTCCCGCTTGGCGACCCAGGCCAATCATCATCATCGTCAGCAACGCCTTCATGCCGGCACCGCAAGCAGGAGGCTGAATAAAATGAAGAAACACGTTCTCCGGCCAGAGGCTTCCTGTCTCCCGATCTCATCTCCCTATCACGAGAGCTTTTCCCTCTCGCATCACCTCACACTTGTCCTTCGGAGCTGACCCCCCCTCCCCCCGGCCTGGTCTCATGCACCTGCAAGATCAGTCGAGATTTGGCCCGCATAACCGTCGTCATTTCATCAAGCATGGTCAATCGGCGTCGCTTTAACCCCCGGGACTGCGTGGAGCATCATTGACATCGAAACGTACCTTGGACTTGATATGGCGCCCCCCAAGAACAGAGTCCGCAAGTTCCACCGCCGTAGCAAAAACGGCTGCTCGACATGTAAGCAGCGTCACGTCCGCTGTGATGAGCGCAAGCCACTATGGTATGTCCTTCCTTATCCCTACCTTGTCTTCACACCTCCCCCCTTTCACCTTGTTTATGCCTACCGTCTTGGCGGAGACAACGCCTGTGATGAAAAGATCGATCCGGACTCTGCGGGTAAAGCCCAGCAATCGACTAACCAGCCCGCAGCACCAACTGTCTCCAGACGGGCAAGGACTGCATCTACCCCGACCCCGCCACTGATGCCGAGTCCACTCCAGAGTCTCGGGCCGAGTCCGAGTCGGCGGCCTTGATCCCGGTCGCGGAGTCGGCTCGCCTCGTCAACGTCCTGTCCCATCAGCCATTCGCCGGCTTCTCCGGCGAATATCAACTCTCGGAAATGTCGCAATGGCTCTTCCATCAATGTAAGTCATGTCGCCCGCTGCCGTTATGCTATCTCTCTGACCAAAAGCTCAGTTACCAACTTCTATGTTAGAGGACAGACTCCCGTGGAACGAGGCCAGAATCTGTGCAGGTATGCGATCGACTTTGTTTGCAAATCAGATGCTGGCTCTGACATGTTGGGCAGTGTTCAGAGGACTCTGTTGCATCCAGGTCTGCTTCATGGCTGCCTAGTGGTCGCGGCTTGCCAGTGGGCCTGGGTCACAGGATCGCTTGAGCATGTCAAAGTCCCCTTTCTCTACCACAAGGCAGCAGCATACGAGTTCGCAAAGAAGCAGCTGTCAGAGTCTGAGACTGATGTCAGCGACACTGCCGTCTTTGCTATTGCAACACTGGCACTTACAGAGGTACACCACATTTGGAATCCGGAAACTTGTGGCCAGACCAGTACTGACGGACCATAGGGTGCGGTTGGGGACCTTGACGCGTCATCCAAGCATCTACGCGGTCTGTATAGGTTAACACTCCAGAAGAATGGGTATAATCTGATGCGTTCAAACTTAGCGCAGCAGATGCTGGACATGTAACACAAGTCCGTCCCCA